TCGGCAACTAAAGCAAAACAGAGAAGTAGCAGGTAAAAGAGACTTCAGGACATTATATCATATAACCAGGTCTCTATCCGGGAAGAGATCAACCCAGACGATGAAACCAATAAAAGATGTTCAAGGGAACCTGATTACCAAGGAGAAGAAACAAATAAAACAATTAGCTCATCACTTCAAAGGACTCTTGAACCGACCATCACCTACAACTCGCCTGGAGGTTCAGCAGCACCACGCACGCATATAACTGCCCACCACCGGTTGACACCCATCCCCCAGCGAAATCAGATATCATCAATGCGATCAACCTACTGATGTCCACTTACGGAGGCAGCAGGACCAGACGAAATTCCCCCAGAAGCACTGGAAACGGACCCAGCGACTTCGACAGACATCCTCAAGCAATTGCTACAAACGGTTTGGAGAGAAGGAAAGGTACCTACTGACTGGACGAAAGGCTACCTTGTCAAGCTGCAAAAGAACGGCGACCTAGGCCTCTGCAACAACTGGCGTGGAATCATGCTCTTGTTCACGCCAAGTAAAATAATAAGTCGCATTATCCAGGAGAGAATAAAAATGCACTGGATACAGAACTTCTCTGACGGAACAAGCTGTATTCAGCAAAAGCAAGACATATACTGATCAAACTGTAACTCTACGCATAGTCATCGAACAAAGCATAGAATCGCAGTCAAACCGCTACCTCAACAAATTCATCGACTTCGAGAAGGCCTTCAACAGCGTTGACCGAGACGTAATTTGGAAACTACTTCAACACCACGGTGTACCTCAAGTCTTCATCAGCCTCATTCAACAGCTGGCTATATGACAATGCCACCTGGCAGGTGATCCACAACGCGGAGCTCAGCGAGGCGTCCGAAGTGAATACAGGAGTAAGACATGACAGTCTACTGTCACCCATGATGATATTCTCAATTGTGGTGGACTAGATTGTGCGTTAGACTGTGAGTGTGGGGGCTCAGAAGACAGGAATACGTTGGACCAATCGATAAGAAGGCTCTAGAAGATCTGGATTCCGCAGATGATCTATGTTTAGTGCCACACAAACTCGAAGAATTTCAGGCGGGAAGCAACAAACTGGCTGAAGTGGCTGATAGCGAAGACAAGACTCAAGGTGAACATAGCGAAGACAGAGGTGATGAAGATACCCACCCAACCAACCAACAGCACCAATCACCACCACCAACGGGAGAGATTTGACAGACGTCATCTCCTTCACTTATCTAGGAAGAATCGTCTCAACCACAGGCACACGGCACGGATGAAGATGTCAAAGTCAGCCACAATCGGAAAGGCAAGATACACCATCACCAACCTGAAGCCAGTTTGGAAATCTTTTGCACTCCGCCTCAGCATAAACAAGAAGATTCGGCTTTCCAACACAAATGTGAAGTTAGTCACTTCTTCTATGCGGGTCAGAAACTTGCACTGCGTGTCACGAAAAGCACTTCCAACAGGCTACTGCAGATTTTTATCAACAGCTGCCTTCGCTAACTCCGTATTGAAGATCAAATGGCCGGCCGGAAAGGACCAGCAAAAACAAAAACTAACAAAGTACCTATTGTTCAGAAATATGTAGGAGGAAAAGGAGATGGATTGGGCAGACGCTGAGTAGACCATCAGATGACACCACACGCTAGACTCTCGGGTGGAATCACGATGGGAAACGACGAGTGGTTCGTTCAAGGGTGACATGTAGCAGATTGTGTGAGGAGAAGATGGGAGATTTTGGTCAATCATGGGACCAGATGTAGAGGGTAGCAGAAAATAGAAGAAAGTGGAGATGTGTTCCATTCGGAACAATAATAATCTTTGATCCCCTACAGTTTCGTGCACTTCGAGATTCCCGACACTAATACAACTTCTTTAGGTCTCCATTTACTTTCATGTGTCAGATTTCGGTCTAACATAACGAAAGTTTCGTTCTGTGCTTCGGTGTCCTTCTGCACTGCAGTTATATTTTTAGTTGTCGTGTTTGTATCCAAGGTAATCATAGTTACTTGTTATTGATTAGGTGTTTTATCCGAGGCAATTTTGACATTCTTGAATTTCGTAGGACTAGCCAGAATATCCTCAGATTTCTGAAACTGTTGTTAACAAATCCGAAGAGTATACAACACGTGTGATTTACTTCTTTTTAATTAGGTCAGATACACTTACAGAATGTATTTAGGTGTACAGCTTTTTGCAATGAGTGCTGAATTGAATTGTTTAGCACATTGTCACCTACTCCTGCGCAGTTAGTTATAATGGCTGCATAAAGCGCACACTTTCCAAACGCATCTCTAAACATTATGCGGCAAGGTTAGCAAAAGAACGATGCAAGACAGTTACTAGCTCGATTCTTGAGCACTTGGTGAACTCAAGCGACACAGCTCCACCAGAGTTTTCTCTCAAGATTATTTACAAGGTGAGACCGAATGGTACAAAGGACGTCAGGTTTCAGCATTTGCGTGTGGTGGAGGCGTTGGCAGTTCGTCAATACAACCCCAAACTCTGTATACTGAAAAAGCTTGTCCAGTTTCCTATTTATTCACTAGTCGTTCCTTGCAAATTTTTAATTTTTTAATTTTCAATTTTACCTTCAGTTTGCTGTTACTTTAACAATTAATTCACTATTATCACTCTCATATGTTCCTTTGGTACATTTTCTCACCCTTTTCACACTTGTTAAACTGACGCCCAACTAACTTTCTTCTCATGCAATAACAATTTTAACCTTATCAAATTTCTAACCCTTCTTTTGTATCAATGAGTATTACATAATTTGCAACTTCTATTTTTACTTCCAAAGCCACTTCTGGGTAATTATATAAGTAATGTCACCACATATTACTCAATAATGGACTACTATACATTTTTGGTAAATGCAAATACGACTGTACAGCTTCTGAAGATGATTTGATCGATAAAGAAAATTTTCTTCTCTGAATTGTCTTTTATTATCTTTATGATTCAATGGGTATTTTCGGTGATATTGTATACTTTTGAATTCCGTGTAGATATTAGACCGTCCACTACCCTACTTGACGAAAAGTCAGTAGCGTTCCCCAACGCTTTTGTGCTTTATGAGTCGGTACGAGTTACTTTAGACTTTTCGGGTATGCAGTCAAGTGGACCTAATTCCATCCTGAGTTCAATTATTTATGACTGCATATCATTAGCAATGCAAATTAAGTTAGAAAGCTATAACTTTCCAAACAAAATATCTTTCACAGCATTATTTTTGGATTATATTCAGGGCAATGATAAATAGGTTTTGTCATCTAGATCGCAATTGGTTCATGTTAACACAGCAATATAATCTAGAATTAAACATCAATATAGAAAAACATCCTTACGTGTGAAATCTCACCAAGGAGACTCATCTGAAAACGAAATCACAAGATATCGAAGACGCCACTAGAAATAACAAAACTGTAATACATACTAAGCTACAGACGAAAAATCACAACATCACCGCAAAAGGCATAATAAAGCACAACCGAAAATTCAAAATACACATCTGCAAGCAGAATTACAGAAATACATAAAATCGACTAGAGAATTAGTGAGATGAATGTAGGCATCATTATAATCTACCACAGCTTCGAGTTCTATGTTTGTCGAATCATCTTCGTGATTCCATGAAATAGGATAGACTTATGAGTCAGATGTTTGGTGACTGTGAGGCCAAGCAACCTGACAGGTAGAAAGACGGATAAATAGATAGTCAAACGGACAGACAGTTCGAGGTGAAGTTGAAAATTCCTTTTCAAATTGATACTTACTGGATGAGTGTCGTTTTATTCCATGCTGTTGTTTATGTATACCTTTACACTGAGCGAATCACTGACTGAAATGAGTGGCAGTGGTGAAGCGTCAATCTGCACGTGAGGAAATAGTCGTTAATTTGTGATTATGCTTTTCATTGTTTATTGCTGGAATCCAGTGGTACATTTCATTTTGTCTGATTTCTCAGTGCCTGTTTTTTGATATGACGATAATTCGTGAAATTATTCGGTGGTCCTAGTTTTTTTGAAGCATGGAATTCTGTGAAATTTTTATTGGACGATATGCGGCAACATATAGTGAGGTTTGTTGCGTAATTGCTCGAGGGAAAAAAGATAATTTTTTCCATATGGTTTCTGTCTTCATAAGGAAGTGTAACAACAGAAGACAAGGGCCAGGCAACAGATCCTTTATTAAGGAAAATCAACACACATTTATAGATTTTAATGTACATTATTCTTAGTAGAAAATACAGTCTTTTGATTGGTTATTTCTCCAGAAAGTTAACCTTGCATCTGTTTGTGGCTGTGTCAGATCATCCATTTGCTAACTGTATCCGCCTACGCAAAGCCTTTGTTCTCATTTTCTCACCACCAATATTGGGGACATAAACATTGACGTCAATTACTGTCTACGAACTTTGGCTAGCAGCCAGCCCTCACCACAGAAGAAGGCTACGTCCCATAATATACTTCAGATTATTACTTAACATGTAAATCCCATATGAAGAGTAAATATTTTGGAATTAAATACGCTGAAAATCTCTAAGATATGTTCTGAAATAAAGATTTATTATTATTATTACTATTAACTGAGTCTCTGCATATGATGATAAGTCACCAAACAAACGTGTTGTGCATTGTCTCGTCTAACTGTTTCTGATCTTGCAGAATCCGACCGTTTTGACTTGTTTCGTGATTTTACGTTTATAGACAAGAGAAAGCATACCGTAAGTAAGAATAGCAGAAGTCATTTTAAATTGTTAATGTTTATTAACTGGCTTACAGGTAGATCAATTTTAACTTTACCAAAAATAGAAGACATCAACAAAAACATAGGTTGAATAGTACCAAAAGAACAAATGCAATGATTAATATTTTAAATACAATTATATGCAACTGTATTTTAAAAAATTTAAATAATTCACTCGATAGAAATGTCTGATAGTTAAAATATCTTATATGTTTCATTTTAGAATGAGTATTGACTCATGAAAATGTTTGAGGGAAATAGGCAGACGCAAGTGACTGTTGATGAATATCTTCATAATTTGTACAAGAATATTTGCTCGATGCCTCTTTTTCGACATTTTGAGATTTATTAATACAGTTTGCCAGTTCAGAAGGTCTAACGGAGGTAGAAGTCGGGTCTAAATATTAAAAATAAAGAAAAATGGAATAGAAAGTAAGACTTTGTCAAGATTGTAGTAAAAAAAAAATAAACGACTAGGGAGAAGTGAAAATATATTATATCACTTATGAATGTCATTCGGAGGTGCGCTTAAATCGACAACTGAATTGGGAAAATTTGTGACTGATTTCTCATTTATTTTTTGCCATTTAGGTGGGACGTACGGATTTAAGCTTGGGCTTTAAAGTTCCAGTCGCGGTGTTTTTCATTTACGTGGAGTTTTGATCTCACGTACAACGCTTCTCTTTCACCGAGCTTACTAACGGTTAAGCGAGATTTAGGAATGTGTAAGCGGAGAACAGAGCCTGGATCAATTGTGTAATCGGAGAACAGTCTACCAGAGAACTATCGATGCACAAAGTACTACCCATTGAGACACTTGCAACAGTAGGCAACTGTTTTGTTGTGATTATCAGGGAATAGTAATACGGTTTTGTTTTGTTGCATTTGTTGCCTCTACACAAAATTATGCGGTACGACTGAAGAAAGAAAGGATTTTACATTCACCTTAGTCCTATTCATTGTTTTGTGCTTAATTATTTCGAGGAGAAAATATTCATAAACTCAATAACAGTCGCTATAGTAACTTGGAAACACGAACAGTTTCCCCTTAATTTCATCAAATTTACGTCCACAACAATGTTGATTTAATTAACAAAGATTCCGAAAGATTAATTTTTAGAATCAGGAAATCTACGCGTTATTAAATAGCTTACACCAAGTAACAATCACTTCATGAAGTAATAGAATGTTTTGATCTAGCGAGTCCTAACATTTTCCCAGTCTAACACTACTACTACTACTACTACTCCTAAAGTCGTCGATGAAGTCGGTACCTCGGGATGCAAAAAAATGCGCGAAAATCCTAGTAATAAATGAATATTTACTACTTCGTCAATTGACTCAATATTTAAGCAGAAACACTTCCTACCTTTAATAGAACTCTCAATGCAGACTTGCTCTGAATATTCGTTACTAACAGAATTGATGTATTTTATTGTAGATATTTCAAGTGGAATGGAATTTCTGTTTCAGTTTTAATGTACTTTTAAATCACTATACTGAAAGGTTTCTCCTTTTGGAATAGACACAACTTTTAGTAAAATCTATTTAATTTCATTTGAACGTCAGGCGGAGTTGTGTCATTAACTACGCTAGGAGCTGGTATGCAGTCGGCGAGAGACAACATAGATTCACAGTTGAAGATGAAAGTTACGTCTAATGAAGTTGGTAGAGTGGAGGAAATTGGGTCTAAAAAATTCTACTGACTTACAATGGTCAGAAGATTCTAAAGATGAAGAAACTGTATGGATATTAGCACAGTAGTGTGGATAATTAGGCTGGTCAACGTGAGAAATGGCAAGAGATTAGGGAGGTAGTTACTTGACAGATGAAGGAAGAAAGGAAGTGTGTGAACAGATGTTGTTCTTCGGTTGTACACACTTTTGAAGTTTACTTCTTTATGGAGCATTTGACAGACAAAAGGATTACTAGTGACTGCCACTAGTGAACGCAGATAATCATAGGCTGAAACCAGTTGCAGGCTATCTAAATGTAAATAATGAGATTCGCAGTCTTTTTCGTATCAAAAGTTTAACGGGATACAGATCACTGATGGGTAAATATGTGGGATTTTCTGTAATCGAAATTCCATAACTCAAAAATACGTGTCGTTGAGGCCGTCAGTTTCACATAACAACTACGCAAAATACAGAATTTTCACCAACCACGCATCTGGCTCAGGGTCCGATTCCCGACCGACGCTCTCCTATCTCTCGCTCAGTTGGAAGTGAACCCGGTAAAAAGTGAAGATAACATTCTCACCCCGTAAAAAATAAATACCACTGCTACTGAAACTTCAAAGCTCAGGCCTGAAACCCTGTACTCCTCTCGGAAAGTAAAGGAATAAAATAAAACGAATACAGAAAGCATTAATCCTGTATAAATTAAAATAAAATTAAACAAGTCGACTGAGTGACGTAGCAGAAATGACCAGACTGAGTAGAATTTAACAGAAATTAAAAGAGGGCCAAATTAAAATCAGAGTAATACAAAGTAGAAACATAGCGCTGGTAAAATGTAACAATAATAAAAACTTTTAAAAAAATTAGGATCAACAAAAATTAGGTATCAAATGTTGAGAGAAACTAGATACATTGCAGTTTCAGTGACTTGACAAACCTCTGTTTGCATAGTTCAGCGTTTAACAAGTGAGTTAACACAGCGTCTGTGGACTACTTAAATCACTGGGCTACCAGAATTTCTATCTATATCAAAATGTTTAAACTCTTCTGCATTTCTTATTGTTTTAATAATGCAATTATATCAAATGACCACTACATGTACTCGCATGTTTAATTACCTTCTAACTATATGCTGTGCAATTTTTGAAGAAACTGGAGAAAATAATCTACAGAATTGGTTCTTTCTTCATATAAAACACCCCAGCGTCATATGACATACTTCAAATTATTACTTTGCATGCAAAATCCCGGATGAGGAGAAAGTATTTTGGGGCTAAATAAGCTGAAAGTTTCTGTACTATATGTTAACATATTATCTGAAATAAAGTTTTCTTATTATAAGGTTAACTGCTTTGATTTATATATCGCTAGCCAACTAACATTTCTGGCATGATGGGACATCTAAGAAAATTTGTTCACATTAACAAAGGTGGTTAGGTCATTAGAATATGCAAGCAACTCATCATTTTTTTTAAAGTAGCAGCTATCTGTTTTATGAATGTAAGACGGCGACGTTTAGAAATACGTGACTGTAAATATTGACCCAGAAGAGTCTTACTATCGACTAACCTATCTCATTTAAGATATTGCTAAGGTTCACAAAAATTCGTTACTGTACGCTACAAGTTTTTCTCTGTGAGATCTACAATAGCTTGTTGTCAGGTGGTTATGAGCACATGCCTTTGACGCCGTTACTGACACACTAGAGATGTTCTTCTGTTACTTCAGATCCGAACATGTAATAAGGATATTTCAAATAATTCTCTATAGCGTTGTAACATACATTCACCTGGAAAATAATGAAGAAGTGGTCAGTCCTGAAGAATTTTTTTTTTGATTACAGCTTGATGCCACACCGTATTTTCAGTACAAGTGTGGAATTTTCAGCATGGATATCGGTAGCCCAAATTTTGCAGGCCCACCATAGATATCGGGTGTGCGTCGGTAGGGGATCGAACCCCGGACCATGTGCATGGTCGGCGAGAGTCCTAACCACTGTGCCACCGACGCACAGTGAATAACGCTTGTGAGATCATGGTAACAAATGGTAACTAGTTGGAAAATCATTGTGATTTTTCAATACATGTATGCATGCATAATAGATGTCACCATACAACGACTGGCTTTCATCGATTATTCTAATGACTCAAATTTGGAAACCATCACTTCACCAGTGATGTTGATTTTCACGCAGACATCATCTTCACTTTTACGAAAACTCACACAATACCTACAAATCGTAACAGTCAAGGCTAGAGAGAGTAAACAAAGACTGTAACACACCTATTTCCTGTAAAAAAATATTTCGATAAACTACTCCTTATTGAAAATGTGATTAAGTTTCCTAATGCATTATAAAGGAAGTATGAAGTATGCAGATACAAAAGGTGAAATGCAACAAGGATTATTACCTAAGAAATCACCGGCTGTCCTAGGATTTGTATGATTTTTAGCCGTTGACAGAGGATTCAAACCACAGGTCACGTAATTCTAAAACAAAAATTAAAGAAATCATAATCAAAATAACCATTATGTATGTGCACAGAACCGGTGAAATTATCTGGACAACCTATTATACAACTTATAATATAAAATAAGCAACAAAAGTAAATAAAGCAGGATTTAATGAATTCATCGAATTTCGGTAGAATTCTTCACATAAATACTTTGCATGTATATATATATATATATATATATATATATATATATGTATACATAGACTACCAAAAATACACTGGGAGATATAAGACTGATAAACAAATAAACTACATTGAATTAATCATGCAAAACGAAACGTGTGAATGTTTTTCAGGTCATGTTCAAAGAGATAAGGGAAAGGGAGTACGACAGATTAAAATTAAGATAAAATGCATCACGGTTCAATTAAATCATTTAGATAAACAATTAATCATCAGAGAAAGAACATAAATATATCAAGAATTGTGAGCTGAGTAATAATAATAATAATAGTAATAATAATGTCGAGAGGAATTAACACAATGCTAAAATTTTCTCAATTCCGTTGTTGGGACAGGTATGTCTTCAGCTTCTCTGCATATAAAGTCAATAGTCTCAGCGACTGGAACATTTGTGAGCAGGGAGGTAATATCGAAAGAGATCAGATGCTTATCAGATAAATTGACATCCTTAATTTGCTTGACTAACTGGAATGAATCAGAAAATATATACGTTTCAAAACGTTTTCCCAAAAGCTGCAATAATTCACATAGGCACTGTGCTAATTTGTGGTATGGTGAATTTGTCATTGAGAGTAGATATAAAAATATCAAACTGACTAGGTCAAAGATCCCAAAATTATACGGGCGAGTTAAAATACACAAACCAGGAGAGCCCTTGAGACCTATACTCTCAATAATAAATTCACCATACCACAAATTAGCACAGTGCCTATGTGAATTATTGCAACTTTTGGGAAAACGTTTTGAAACGTATATATTTTCTGATTCATTCCAGTTAGTCAAGCAAATTAAGGATGTCAATTTATCTGATAAGCATCTGATCTCTTTCGATATTACCTCCCTGCTCACAAATGTTCCAGTCGCTGAGACTATTGACTTTATACGTAACAAGAACTTATCATGCTGCAAACATCGTCTTTCTTAACACCACCAAGCGAGTGCTTCAACAATCCGGGAAAGATCAGTCGCCAATTCTCGACACTTCAAAGTGCGTATATCAATTTGAGTATGTTTGTGGAAGCAAATACGCAGGCGCTGGTAGAGAAAGGCGATTGTCTACTCACATAATAGAGCATTTGCCAAAGTGGTTGGAAACAGCTGAGGTCAAAATGTGAAGAAGTTCAATAACAAAGCACCTTGTGAACTGCGGACATGATATCGACACTGTCAAGTCATTCACTGTTGTCAGTAGACAAAGAAACAGGAAGATGCTTGCAACTGCGGGGGCCTGTGCAATTAGAGTTTATAAACCAGACTGTGTGTACAAAAGGAAATGGCCATCACTCTGAATCTACCATGTATATGATAATGCTATAGAAATATTATGGTAGTATGAAAGGTATACCAGATTTTCGCCATCAATATACAGGGATATTACGAAGAAGATGTATGGTTCTGAAAAAGATTAAGTTGTCGAAAAAAGCAGCATTCAACTTGTCATTTCGCTCCACGTCTGAATTTATGTCACGCAAAAATACGCATTGTTACTGAAACTCTTCGGAGGTCACATAGAACGGTTTCTTCTTATCAGTATTCAGTATGATACAGCATAAAAACAACAGTCTATCACAAACGACGCCTAAAGCAAAACAAATAAGTGGACATGATAGCGGTTTGAGTTTTCTAGAACACACACAATGTAACCAATTTGTTATCTCCACGTATTACAAATTTTTTGTTTTTAAATGATAGGCAGATTTTCTCGTCTTATTTCGTGATATTGAAAATCATACAAAAAACCCTGAAAAGCTTCGTAAACCCTGGTGAATAAAATATCAGCTGATTGTTGTTGAATCACAACAAGACTGATCGAAATTGGATAGAAAAAAGCAGAAGGAGAAACGAAAAACGCTTAAGAGTAGAAGCACAACACATAAACGAGTCTTGAAGTAATCCTTGTGTCACCTGGAAAAGTATTTTGATATCAAGGGAAGCGAAGAACAATGCTTTGGTTAATACGTCAGTTTCCAACTATTGAATAAACCGATGCAAGTGAATATTAAAAGCAGGTCTACAAGCATTAGTGAGAAACTTTACTCTACAAAACAAGAGGCATATTTCGATACTGTGGATTGATGAAGTTAGCTTAGATAAAATTAATGAACAACAGAACGTGCTACATAGTGAGGCTGTTTCACCAGATAACTTTAGGTAAACAAGTTCCACTGGCTGAATATAGTGCGTGGTTGTAAACCTTAGGTCTTAAGGAATTTTTCAACACTATGGCTTCGTGACACTAACACTTTAATTAAATACTTACCTTATCATTCATTCTACAAGAAAGGTTTTTGACACACGAATTAGTGGTTACTTCGGAATATTTCTTATCAGCTGATGTTACGATATTTGCGTTCAGCGATGATACCATAATGGGAGATGTACATGTGACTAATTGTGTCATAACAGAGAGTTGAGGCTTTATTTGTGGTATATTTGATAAATGTGTACCTTTACATGCTGAGTACCTCTCGTTTCCTGAAGAAGCAACCATGGCATTTGCTGAAGTGACAGTTGAAGATACATTTGATGTATTAGGTTCGCTTATAACTGGACATATTGACGACTTCAGACGACTTTGTACATAACCCAAATCGTTTTCAGCAATTTGACGGTTTAACCAGGCAATAACTGTAAAATCATCATAAAATAGAATTATGCTGATTTGAGTTTACGAAATCCAGTGCTATGACACAAAAATAAGAAATTTAAGCACTCTGGTGGAACAGAATTCCATGTTAGATTTTTTTGATATATTTTGATTTACAGCTTGATTCCACACCGTATTTTCAGTACAAGTGTGGAATTTTCAGCATGGATATCGGTAGCCCAAATTTTGCAGGCCCACCATAGATATCGGGTGTGCGTCGGTAGGGGATCGAACCCCGGACCATGTGCATGGTCGGCGAGAGTCCTAACCACTGTGCCACCGACGCATATGATTGAAGTTACAGTTATTACACGGCATTTGGTAATTACAACATCTATCGCTTACATAGGTTAGAGTAAAGCTATATATAAGCTATATAACTCTGTAAATAAATTCACTGATACAAATATGAATAATAAATTCTTCTCGAAACATCATCCAGCTATTAACACCGGATCACTGGGTGTTCTATCAAACAAGATTATGTAATTGTAACACTAGAGTTTTCGGTGTTAAAGAGATAAGTAACAAACGAAAAGCCTCTACATATGTACGACTAAAGGGTGATACACCAAGTTGAGACAATCGAATCAGAACGTTTAATGCCAGTAAGCGGTTGTGGTTCCGAAACTGAAAGACGAAGTACCTAGGCTAGGCCTCTTTTATTGTATCTTTCAGTTTAGCTGCTCCCACGGAGCCAGTTATATTGGCCAATGCTCTAGGAAATTGGTTTATTGTGCTCACGAACACCTACCAGTGTGACTGAATACATGTGATGTTGAAACCATCAACAGTCCTATATTACATCACTTCGTCCAATTAGGTCACAAAGCTAACATTGAACAGTCTCTCTCTATCATATATCGAATATCGAATAAATTACCAGAGGCCTTTAGATACCGAACATTCAAAACAGCAAAGGTTATTGCAATTCGCTTAAATTAACCGGAGTTGTGTGCAAAATAAAATCAGGTTCAGTCACCGTTGGTACCCTGGTCTGCTGTGGAACCTATAAATTCACACATTCTGCGTTACTTTCATTAATTTGTCTGATATTCAGTTTATTATTATACTGATGCATATCATCTCTTACTGATTCTTTTGAAATGTAATCTACCGGTAACACTAATTCAATGTAACTCAAAATATTAATGTTGGTAATAACAATAATTCTTTAATTATTACATATTTATGTAATCACAGAACCTGATGACGAATTTATCAAAAAGGATAATCTTTGTTCACTAATCAATACCGCATAGATGGTTGGAACAGTAGCAAGCGTAAAATGCCAGTGAGTATACATTTGGTCTCAATATTTTCAGAAACCACTGGAAAACATATTCTTGTATTATTCAGTTGGAATAAAACATAAAGCTTTTAATACACTTCATTTTCAGGTCATTGACAGATTTTATCGCCACTATGACAGCAAATTGCGTAATAAGCATGACCTACCAGTATGAGTATGGACAATATGATTACAGAATGTCCAGTCAACTTTTCCATTTATTTATTCATTTTCGTTCCCAGTGGAACATATGGTTTCGAGCTAGAGCCTCGAAGTTTCAGTAGGAATGGTGTTTAGTTTCATGGAATGAGGTTGCTAGCCTCACGCCTAGCCTTCCCTCTTTACCGAACTTATTACCGGCTAAGTGAGGTAAAGGTATGCGTCGGGCGGGGATAAAACCCCAGACCACTTGTGTGATTGGCCAGTATTCTACCATTAAGCCACGCTTGTCTTTAGAAAAACAATTTAACCTGACAGAATACAGATAAATGTTTTCCTACAAGCGATAATTTTCTCCACCTATGGAATAATATTGTTTCTACACGAACCATTTATGGAGAATTAACAGTAAAATCTCCTGAAACATGAACGATGTATTTCATATCTTCATTGAACCGGTTAGGTGAAATTATGTGACTAGAGAAGCCTTGGCCTCCTATTTGCACGTTTAGAGATACCATGTAGGTTTTTTTATTATTGGGGTCTGCTGTGCTCAGCTTTTGAATAATGCTCAGACGTTTAAAGTTCTACTAAAAATGATAAGGTGGTATCAGAGGACTATGAATGTTGTTTCACGCAATTGAGTCGTTAATAGTGGCCAACTAGAGTACAGGAAATTTAAAAGGAGAATAGGGGATATATTCCGGGTATTTCAGTGAACTAAGTAAGAACAAAGATAAAGAAGATAGTTGACAAAGTGATACATTTTATGTGTCGTTGGAAGCATGTGTGACTGGTTGGTACTTTTCAGGATTGTTTGACTAATAAGACCAAAAGGGATTTTGTTTGAGATGGATATCAAGGGATCTGTTCAAATGTAATAAAATATGTTGTATTGTTTTTATGAAAAACCGTAAATAGTTAACAATAGATCAGGTCTAGTCATACAAATGAAAACAGTTACACTAAATTTCAAGCTAGAAATGTAAATTTTAAAAAAAATGATAATTACTGATTAGAATTTCTGGCTGCTTACTTGCTTCATTCGATTTGATTGTTTTTTGAGCATCTGTCAAATTTTGGACAACTTGTCTGTGCTCTTCAACGATATGAGCATTGCGTTTTGTAATATCTGAAAGTTCTGATTTTATACCTTCTAACTCAACGTTTAATTTCTGAATTTCAGAGTCTTTAGCAACAAGCAAACGTTCCTGTTCGGCTGCTACTTGACCTCGTAATTTAGCCTAGAAAAATAGGAGAATAAATTCTTCACATGTAAATATTGATTCCAACATGAAACTGAATAAGTCCCTTAGTTGTAAAACTATAGTGACAACTATTATCAATAGGCGACTTCACTTCATTTGGCATTACTATTCGTTTTAATGTGCAAGAGTAAAACATTTAGTTGAATCTGTGGGATAATGTCTATTAAATTTTGACATAGTGAATAAATGCAAGTATCTAAGCAAAATTAGTTGAAGCTAAAAAAGGGTAACTCATTATACGTAAATCCCTCAGTCCAATATGATTGTGCGTGCTGAAAGTTTTCAGGTTATATATACTTCGCAAAATAGCGAATTACAATGGTTACACAATTTCAGCCACATGAATAAAATGAAACTAATTTAATGAACAAAAGAAAGGTTAATATATCCATGTTAACAAACTGACATTCTAAAGGCATCCAAGTCACACACTTTACAAAGAAGCTGACGGACAATCTAGTAAATTTTCGAAATGAACTGGGTTATCAAAGTAGAACTTTGCACAACAGTACAACAGTTTAAGTTACCTTATAACAGTGGGAAAAGGAAATGAAATAAAACTACTATAGATGAAAGTGTACCGGAAAAAGAATAATCATATGAGGAGTAAGTCTGTCAGTTCTTCTATATGGGTCAGAAAATTGGCCAGCACGTCTCGAAAAGGATTTCCAGCAGCCAGTTGCAGACTTTTATCAACAGCTGACTTTGCTGACTCTATACTGAAGATCAAATGGCTGGCCAGAAACAATAAGCAACAAGAAACTATGGGAACAAACTAACCAAAAACCTATCGTTCAACAAATATGTAGTAGAAAAAGGAGATAGATTTGGCAGACGATCATGAGACCATCGTATGGCGTCGTGTGCCAGGCCCCTGAGTGGAATCCAAATGGGAAGGGTTGAGTGGGTCGTCCAAAGGTGGAATAGAGAAGGTCGTGTGAGGAGAAGATCAAAATTATGGTCAATCATGGGCCTAGTTGAAGAAGACAGCAGAAAACAGAACAAAATGGAGATGTGTTATTGAAGCCCTGTGCTCCACTCAGAAACCAAGGGAACAACAATAATAATATAATAATCACTAAGCAAGTTTTCAAATTGATGAACTTTGACCTTGTTGAGTTGCCATGTTGACACTGTTTATTAGATTTTTCTGTTTTCTGTCTTCTCTCACCCCCCCTTTTTTCTTTCTTTTTGCCATAGATTGATAGTATATAAATTGATGGTAACTTAAGCTACAAAAATTTTAATCCTTATATTCCGGATGCGTTTATCTTATAATGCTTTCTGTATTACCTTTCAAACAATGAAGTATGAAATGTTATTAATTATAACCATTGTAATTTCAGGTAGTTTGCAGCTGATGAGAACCTGTGAAATAGAATGATATCATTTTATACTGCAAATCTGGTCTTTCTTTCTCTATCGAAATTTATCAAGGGAACCAAATGTATGAAATAATATAATAATATGAGGAGTAAAAGGAAATTCCAGAATCTAGAGGACCACACGGAATAAGTAAGTTTGTACCAATGTGAACGATTTTGATTTGTGACCCCAATCGTTGATTCTTAATATCTCCAGTGCCTCGGTCAAGCAGTCTATGCCTCCCTATGTGACTTCAACTAACAGTCAAAGACTTCATGAATGAGTACCATATTTCATCTGATCACCCCTAAATCTTTCCCAAATTAATCAGGAGGAAAGCTGTGGATCAGCCAGCTTAGCAAACGACCTAGCCCTCTCAATCGATGCAGATATTTCGATGGATAGACAAATATCCCAGCTGTGCCAAAGATGACGTTAACTAAAAGTGATCCTTTTGTATCCACGGTGAGATCTCCTCTGCGACCAATTCATTGGGGCTGATACAACTTCTCAAATAAGTGAAGTGACTAAGACATTTAACAATTGCCCTACTTACTCATAAACCTGGAACCAAGTCCAGCTGATTCCTCTGTGACTATCACAGGAAGATATGTCCCGCTTCTTACTAGCTGGGATAATCATCAATGATTCGCATCATTTCAAAGAGACTATATCAGACTCCCACACATTACCTAACCTATTCATCAATAGTTTATAGCCACCAAACTTAAACACTGCTAGAGTCTTACAATCAGATCCAGCTACTTTACCTCGTTTCACATTACAGAGAATCTTTGCAGCCTCAGCCACGCGGCAGAACTGATTGATTCACGCCATTCAGGTAAGCGTTAGGTCATGGGTGCCTGTAGTGTACCTGGTCCTTACGACGTTCTATTCAACGTTCTAGCCGTCTCTTTTAAGAAGTTATTAAGTGTCCTAGGGAAGGGTGTTGCATGGGTGGAAATTTATCTGAAAAGAGTGCACATATATATATATTAGTAACCTTTGACATGTTTTCATAACTTCATGTATCTGTAATCAGCAGTCTTTTTGAAGAAATCAAAGTGTTTAAGGAACACACAATGCTCACTTTTGTTTGGAAACTCTTGACCTCGTTTTGTAAACGTTTGATGATTTCATTGGATTTGTTGATTTCTTCAGTATTTGACGATAGCATCTTTTCCAAACTCTGGATATTACGAGATTGATGCTCCGACTGCTCAAGAGCATGTGACTGAAAAAAATACATTACGAGGAAATATCCGATCAAGGTATATTACGAAAAACGTAGTTTCGCTAAATTTTTTCATTTAGTAGGATGGTATAAAAGATAAATGGAAATAAAAATCAATAAAAATTTTATGAATGTCTATGCATTTGTAAATAAAGACATGTATAACATTCGGTTTGCATTCAACAATGAATACTTTATAGCAGACTAGCACGACAGCTGAAGTTTAGTGTAGTACAAATAAATCATATCAGACAGGATATTATTTAGGTTCTAAACTAAATACAACTCATCTTGATAACATGGAAAAATAACACAAGGAGACAATTACTCTACATTTTGGAAGCGAGTAAAATCCCTACTCAATACGCTTAAAAATGTACATTTAATACAGCAGATTCAAACTCTGCACCACCGACTTAGGTTGAAATCAGGCTCTAAAACAACACGTATCATCTAGTCCTAATGGTTAGTATGGCTAAAAATTTGAGTGACTTCATCTAATGCGCTTTTTGTAATGACGAAAAATAAAAATGCATTAGAAATAATTCCTATACCAGTAGCACTATCGAAGCGGTTGGTGTATTTCGACTGATCACATAGTTTCCTCAAGCACGGTATTGAGAAATAACTTTGAATACATACAGATAGAAAAATCATAGGATTACTACAATCTTTTGCAGGATTTTATCTACACGCAACTAACGACTTTAACTCAGGTCACTAGAGTTAATAACAAACAATATATGAGCTGAGTAGATTCAACTCCGGCATGATGACAAGCATACATTTCACGATAAAAATAAGTTACTGTGTCCTCCTCGGTTGGATTTTAGTGTTCTTGGTACATGTTTTATGTGTCTGACCAGCCATAATATCTCAACAGAATAACGAAATCAATGCTACAGAGATAAAAGTTGGCAATGAGACACCGTGATGACTGACATTGAAATATAATTCGACTACCGTGTACTTCTTCGGTATGATCAGCTTCAATTGTAGAAAGCACCGCCAACAATGACAATTATACAAAGCATATTCGAGAAAAGACGAAAAGACCAGTCTTCAGAGGATTTCATATAAATATATTTTTTGATTGGATACTAGTTCGCAGTGTTATATGTCTAGACCTATCTTTGGCGCAGGTTGAATTGTATCAGTCATGTTTGCAATGTGACCACCATGCTACGTGGCTCACCATCACGGTGCACTGTGAGTTGTTGGTATTGCCTCTAACCATCTAATACCTATGATTTCATATTTGCATATGAAAACGAAGATAAAATGAAAATAAATATCTTCATTAAATTCCTAGTATTCAGCTGGATCCTTGGGATTAAATTACCAATTACATAAATCAGTAAATAACCCAATGGACATTGGACAAGTGGTTCTATAAACAAATAGACAAACAGTGGAAATTATGTACTACTAACTGCCTTGTAGCAGACCAATCTCCTTCTAATTGACGATTCTGTATTCAGTAGTCAGCGACGTTGTTAGTTTGCACTGACGAATAATCCTAAACTAGAACGAAACATCTGTTCAGTGCTCACAAAGAAATACTCCCTTTCGAACTCATCTGATAAGTGCAACTCAAGAGTTGTCCAAAACGAATACATATTACTTGAAAAGCGTCGTAAAAACATTTAAGCATATTAACCTATATTTGTGAAATTCGTTTCTTCCCATGCATTTTGTGAAGAGTACAGTTCTGTTTATTTACTGCTGTAGTACTGTTGCGGATAACAGTGATTAGTGTACCCAGTTAGGCTTCGCCTATTCCGCCTTCAACTATTCATTTGTTGAATGTTTATTGATGGAGATCATAGAAGCCATATTGTGGACAATTTTATTTTCAGGGATCCAGAAGGTGAATACTATATTGTACTGAATTGGCGTATCCTTATAATCTTAATGTACTATTTCACGCAAATATATCCTAGAGCATAGATGCGTACTGCATTCTTCCTTCTTTAGTTGGGGTAACGTTAGGAGTAGCCTGACTACTAACTGACGGCGGGTTAGGCCAGAGTCGGTTAGCTGTGTGTTCAAAGATCAGACCTATTAAGATGTGTGATCACATCCATAATTTCTAGGAAAGACCGACAGGTAGAGCAGCTTACAGATAAATGTTCAAGCAATATAACTAAATGACCTCCTAGAGTATCGTTCTGTAGTGATTAAAGCGTTATTGCAATTTAATAGTCATAACGGATAATACTGGCAGGATAGAGACAACGTGAATTAGAAAATGGAGAAGCTGGAGGATACAAAATTGTGGTATATGTACGTTTCTATGATGTGATACCTTTTGTTCTTCTTCTGTAGCAAGCGAATTCTTTAATTCCACCAATTGTTTGTCTTTGGAAGCTACATCTTGTTCTAATACAGAAATGTTAGATTGCAGCTGATTAACCATTTCAGTTTGTAAATCATAAGTTCGCTTGGTATCATCTAACTGAGAACGTAAATCTAAAATAGAATACCAGGTAGGCAAGGAAACTGATAACTATTGGAGACATTGAAAATGCAAATATTGACATTATTTGGTAATTTTACTTATTCACGTATATGGAATAATAAAGGTACGTGAAAACAAACTATGTACTCATTAGATATAGAAAAATTTCGATTGCAGTACAGATTTTTGAACTACAATGTAAGATTACAGTTGGTTCTGTTGGCTAATCATAAGACAGGAAGACAAGAAAAATTCAGTCTAAACTATAGTTACTCACAAGAGAAAGTAAGAACCACAGTTCCATACTATAAAAGTCCTTTATGAAGCAGCGTAATCACATTCTCTACCCAGCTTGTATTTATTAATTTACTGAGTTAAGTGTTGTTTTATTGAGAAGACTTTTCATGATCACCAAATTAATTACTGATGGTGACCCGGGCGTACATTACAGATATGTCAGATATGAACTGTATTTTCCTATAGGTACTTTTCAGGTTGCACACAGATGAAGAGGAACACCGGAAAATTAACGCGTACCAAGTTATTATACTCCGGCTTTAGTTCTTTCTCCCTCCGATTTCATGAAGCGGAAATGTGCATGAAACTAACCAGTAAACTAGCTATAATTCAATAAAGAGTCACACGTATTGTGTAAGAGTTAATGAGACTGGAGAGTCACTTTGGCTAAAATGGAGCACTGGTTTAGAATCAAGCTACACCAATACACAATGGCTAGTATTCAATGAATTCCTTGAAGATAAATTCAAAGAAAGTTGTAGCAATCTGACTATGATTTACATGCAGGAGAAGAAGCGGCAAGAAATCCAAAAATACCAACAAAAAGTGAATTAATTCCTTCCTATGTGAAGTAATGTTGAACCTGAGTCATGATTCAGAACATATTTACTAAATAGGGCTGTTAAGATGGTTAATCAAAACATTGAGATATTAAAAGAAGGAAATTTCTATCAGGTCTTCAATAAGAGTCAATTTCATCCTCATAAATTAGTGGAATGAAAAACAAGATTATAAAAAGCACCAGACGCAACCATACAACTGCCAGTTTATTCAACAAAGGCTATTTAACAAAATCCTCTTTTCATGATGAACGTGCATCGCAGTTTCTAGCAACACAAAAGCCACTGTAGGAAAATGAATACAATCACAACTTGAAAATGCCTTTCACAAGTACCTACGAATTGATTTTTCCTATTACACATTATACATTATAATAAAGGTTTTTGTATTTCCCAATGAATGAAAAACAAAACGATGTTGTTTTTACTGACGTTTCGCAATTTAATGCTAATAGCTTTATCAAAGTATTATTAAACCGGAGTTTACAAAATCTCAGCATATATATAACAAACAGTTAGGGGGTGAGAAAGTAGACTTAGGTCAAGTTAAAGGGATATATTGAAAGTAAAAATAGCAATGAAGATTACTAAACCAAATAACAAAGGTAATAGTACGTCTGTTTGTTATATATATGCTGAGATTTTGTAAATTCCGGTTTAATAATACGTTGATAAAGCTATTAGTATTAAATAGCGAAACGTCAGTAAAAACAATATCGTTTTGTTTTTTATTTTATTGGGAAATACAAAAACCTTTATTGCAATGAATATCATATACCCAATGCCCAAATTTTTTCAAATTGTTAAAAGTGAACTTGGTTTGGACATATATGTATATATATATATATATATATATTCTGAAAACATTTTATTCACTGAGAGAAGTGTCACTAATTTACCTTAGCAACTCATTTAATTTTTTGTCTTTATCTCTAAGCATTTTCAACATTTTGAGTGCAAATAACAAGATGGCATTCATGTTTATGCACTGATCCGTGAACCTTACTTATTATGCTAATGGCTGATCAATATTTAGTAAGTGAAGTGGGTTTACTGTTTGGGAGCCTAATGTCTCAAGAAATGAGTTGTATACCAAAGCTGTAAAATAACATCTAAGTGATAAACCAGGACTAATATCTGCAGGTGAAACGGACAAATCAAGTGACTGGCATTTGAATTTACCTGATGATGTGATCACAGTCTAATAAAACACGTGTAGTAATCTTAAGCTATTGAAATTTAATTGACCCATAGATCAACACATAATGGTTAACAACTTCTCAGACGACGTTAACTATTAAGGTGACTTTGAAAGTCACTTACTAGATCATTGATCGGGACTTCATCGTTCCAGAGAACAAAAGCAATGACTGTGGTGTTTTTCTGCAAATAATCGAATAGTCAGTCGAATATGCAAGTCCAACAACACCTAGCACGTCCACACTCATGACTTTTTGAATTAACCTGTTAGCATTCTCCTGAGAGATATTACACTACAGGCTAATAGAAACTTGTGTACACAAAATAAAAAAACTTGTGGTGAAAAAGTAAGTATACTGGAATAGAAAGGATACAGTGCGGTAACACATTTACGTCTAAGTATAGTTATATAACACATTAAAGGAACTCTATTAGAGCATGAAAACCACAGAAATGTAAGATAATTATTTTCATATTCTGAAATTTTATAGATGATACGAAGTTTTTATAGAACATACCTTTCAGCTCCTTATTAAGGGAAGCATTTTCTGCCTCTGATAATTTTAGCTTTTCCTGTAATTCCTCCAAACTTGTCTGAAGAACAGATTGATGATCACGTAGATTCTGTTTAAAATGTGATGCAAAGGTGAAAAGGAGTCACAATCATTATAGCTTCTGATTTGAATCAGACTAAGAAATTAATAGCTAGTGAAATCACTGTTATGGAAGAAAAGTCCACCCGTAGTGGTCAAGATAATACCAGATTTGGATTTGTTCTGACACTTCAACGCACAACATTATATGACTGCTCGACAGTAAACTATTCCCACACTGACAGGGCACAGAAACTAGTGTGAGAAGGCAATGATTTATTCCTTCAAGAGAAAAATGACACGATCAGAAAATACAGCTACTTATATAGTTATTTCACATGACCTAATGTATATGTAGAACTTGCGCACCATGAGAGAATATAATCCAAAATTACATAATTCTATTTGATAAAACAATAATGCAGTAATAATAACTGGATGACGTTTCGAACACAATTTATTGCTCATATTTATATCAATGTATTCACACAGCTTCACAAGCTGCTTTTTATATTGTTTTTCTTCTCCTTGTAATTCAAATATTTCACCATATATCCAGTATAACAAGGGGAAAATAAAGAATATACATAAAACAACTTGTGACGCCGTACGAATACACTGATACGTTTATGAGCGAAAAATTGTGCTCAACATGTCATTCAGTTATGAATACTGTATCACTGTGCTATACCAAATAAACTTATCTAAAGTGAAATTTCATACGACCAATATATTACTAGTTTAAAGTGCAAATTGTGTTTTGACTGGTTAGCATGTACTAGTAAAATCTAAAGACGCAAGCTTAAGCAGAATGTCTGATTAACAGATCACATGGAAAACATTGACTCATAATACCTCTCCGCTCAGCCTAACACTACCATTAGTTGATAGTGAATAACTCAAGAAAACATGCTACTGACACCATGATCAAGACATGCTGACCAAGTATAACCCATTTATCTTTAGACTGAAAATTTTGCAATGAAATGATGGAATTTCGTAAACAGTTCCATTGAAATTGAAACTGCCAGTGACAGAAAATACCGAGACACTATTGACAAAAAACCTAGTACTGCTGCAAATTTACCTAAGTTGTCATACAACATATCCACAGACCAAGTAAACGGTAACAAAAAAAATAATAAAACAATTAAAACCATAAGATTAATAGTCACAAAGTGATCTACATGAAAAAGGATAACAAAAGTAAAGCAAATAAATAAATGTTGAGTTAAGAAGCACATGAAAACAAGGCATGAATTCATCTGCAGCATTACGATCGATCCCAAGCCGTATCACCTAGAATCCCTAAGCACAGGCTCCAAAAGTGATGTAAATGCCAACTAGGGGAAATACACTCTCCTTAAAGGCCTGGTCTAATAGTTGATGACCATATATATATATATATATATATATATATATATATATATATATATATATATATATATATATATATATATATAGATTGATGTCATGGTCTAATCACTGACCCGTTTTAGTTCTGCTATCAATTTATTCATGCAAAGATATGAATATATAGAAATGAATGAGTTCAAGTGTCTATGTTTTAGCTACCTATGTTAGATGGTCTGTCCAGCAAGTAAAGTGCATAAACTTTAATTAGGATTTACAACCAAAAACCTCTAAATTTAATAGAACTCTACCAAAAGCATATGCGAAGTATGCCTACAATCTGTCAAACATTGTCGAAATAGTTGTTTTTCTAGGATATAAATTCACGTTACAAATGCGATTAGCGGTAGATTCTACACACAGATAGTTGGATTATTTGTTTATTTGCTTACTGATTTTAAATTTGTAGATGATTCTATATCTGAAACAGGAACGTAGATCAACGGTGAATAACATACACAACTGATAAAACCGTAATACTTGAAACAAAAACAAAAAGCCCGAGTGTCATAATAATGATAATGAAATGTCACTGCTTCAGTTATAAATTCAGTAGTCCAACACTGTTTCAAAACATGAACATAACATCTTGGAAGATAGTGAAGGAAACCTAAAAACCAAAAAGGAGCAACAGAGAAAACGTTGGGTTGGTCGCTTCAAAAAACCCCAATTCACCACGACCTGCAACTCACTCAGAAATGAAACCACTACATAGAACTACCGCTGAACTCTTACTCTCAAACAAAAACAAAAGTAGATCCCTTCAGCAGCTCCTATCAGCTGGAGATCATTGAAGGCCAAGGAGCAATTCACCACTGCTTCATCTTAGTCTCACACTCGTCAGAAATGCACACCGACGACTTTACCAGAGATTGAACGATCTCTAACTGAGGTCGATTCTTGACGAAATCAGAATTAAAATTAACCAAAATCCTTACAGAAACCTAAATTTTTAAAAATAGAAGTCCTTAAGGCAATAAATGTGCTAAAATCCACTCAAGAAAGCAGCAGGACTAGATGCAATCTCGATAGAAGCTCTGAAAATCGATTAAGAGATATCAGCGGAAAAGCTCGCGCCACTGCTGCAGGTTTGGAATGAAAGAAAGGTACCTGCCGATTGGAGAATAGGCTATCTTGTCAGAGTCCCGAAAAAGGTAACTTAACCCCATGCAAGAACTGGTACATAATCATTCGCCTATCTAACCCAAGCAAAATATTAATTCACATCATATAAAAGATGCCGTGGATAGACATCACCTGGAATAGGTTGGATTCAGGGGGAAAAAATTTTCAAACCGGATTTTAACACTTAGAAGTATCATCATCGAGCATAGTTCACAAAAGCGGTCAATACTTCACCCAATTTTCATCAACTTTAGAAAGGCCTTCGACGGTGCAGAACGCGATGTAGTTTCGAAAGTGCTGCAACCCTACGGTGAACAGTGCCACAAATACTTATCAGTAGCATTCAACAACTGTATGATGATGCCGCGTACCAAATAATTCACAAAGGAAAACTCGCCAAAGCTTCTTATCACTGATGATATTTCAAACTGTGATGGACTCCGTCGTGAGACACACAGGAGTGAGGACGCGGTTAGATCAACGAAGGGACTTAAGAAGATCTGGAATTCGCAGGTGGTTCATTTCGACTCACATGCTGGAATATACACAAGCAATAACAAATAAAAACCTTGCCCAGTTACCTAGCATGCTAGTTTTCTAGCCAGTCCCAAGCGCGGGTAAAGAGGGAGGATTGGACGTGGGGCTAGCAACCCCAAACCCATCAAACCTCTAGAGGAACTTCAACGCACAGAAAATATATTAAAAATACAAAAAATTCAAATGGATACAATATTACTATTATGAAATCGGAGAGGCAAAATGACGCGGGCTGGTGAAAGCCTTCGGGAAGCCAGTCAGCCAATGTGTCTTCTCTCGATGAAAGCAAGAATAAAAATGAGCACGTGGAATGTCCGTACAATGTACAAGGCTGGGAAGCCTGCCCAGGTAGCCAAAGAAATGCGACGATATGGCATAGAAGTGCTGGATTTCTGCAAGAGCAGATGGAATGGAAGTGGATTGTCAAAGCTGTCAAATGGAGAATCAGAATTCTACTCCAATCTGGCCACCCAGATGACAACCACGAGCGCACTGAGGCAGTGAGTGGCTATCATGATATTAGCAGTGGCAGCCAGAGCCCTAATGCAGTGGGAACCAATTTCATCCAGGATAATGACAGCAAGATTCAACTCAAAAGGAAGGAAGGTTGCAATGATCTAATGCTATGCCCCAACAAACAACGCGGAATGAGAGAAGAAGGAAGACTTCCACAGGCAACTACAAACAGCAATGGACAACATCCCAAATGGTGACAGCGAAATCCTTATGGGCGATATGGATTTCAAACTGGGAACAGGTAATACAGGAAGAGAACTCATCATCAGTCGAGAGGCTCTCGAAGAAATGAGTGAGAACGGAGAATTATTCGCAGACTTTTGCGCTTTCAATGATCTGGTGATCGGAGGCAGAATGTACAAACACAAGGGCATACATGAAGCAACATGGATTTCGCCTGACGGAAACACCACAAACCAGATAGATGTCATCTCAATGCTGCCGAAGGAAGTGCAGACGCAGCCAGTCTACCGGACACAAAGACGAGAAGAGGAGCAGATGTAGGCTCAGACCATCATCTAGTTCAAGGAACCTTCAAGGTGAAGCTGAAATCCCTGAAAACAACTGCAGACAGGCCACATTTTAAGTTCAACATTCAGCAACTGAAGGACAAAACTACAAGGGATGCCTTTACTACCTATCAGATCAGAACAAAGTCCGGGAAGCTAAGTATTATCAGCGAGGAATCCTGCGTGGAAGGACATTGGAACACTCTGAAGGCGATATTCAAGGAAACGTGTACAACTGTCCTAGGAGGGAAGGAGAGACAAGACATGGAATAGCTCTCAACGGACACCTTGAATCTAATCGAGGAAAGAAGAGGGGAGGATGGTGGAAGAGATGACACAATGTAAAGAGGGACAAGAGAAAGAGAAACTGAGTTCAATATACGCTGCACTGAATAAAGAAAACAACAAGAGTGCCAGGACAGACAAAAGACAAATCTACAACACACTGGTCGGCAACTAAAGCAAAACAGAGAAGTAGCAGGTAAAAGAGACTTCAGGACATTATATCATATAACCAGGTCTCTATCCGGGAAGAGATCAACCCAGACGATGAAACCAATAAAAGATGTTCAAGGGAACCTGATTACCAAGGAGAAGAAACAAATAAAACAATTAGCTCATCACTTCAAAGGACTCTTGAACTGACCATCACCTACAACTCGCCTGGAGGTTCAGCAGCACCACGCACGCATATAACTGCCCACCACCGGTTGACACCCATCCCCCAGCGAAATCAGATATCATCAATGCGATCAACCTACTGATGTCCACTTACGGAGGCAGCAGGACCAGACGAAATTCCCCCAGAAGCACTGGAAACGGACCCAGCGACTTCGACAGACATCCTCAAGCAATTGCTACAAACGGTTTGGAGAGAAGGAAAGGTACCTACTGACTGGACGAAAGGCTACCTTGTCAAGCTGCAAAAGAACGGCGACCTAGGCCTCTGCAACAACTGGCGTGGAATCATGCTCTTGTTCACGCCAAGTAAAATAATAAGTCGCATTATCCAGGGGAGAATAAAAATGCACTGGATACAGAACTTCTCTGACGGAACAAGCTGTATTCAGCAAAAGCAAGACATATACTGATCAAACTGTAACTCTACGCATAGTCATCGAACAAAGCATAGAATCGCAGTCAAACCGCTACCTCAACAAATTCATCGACTTCGAGAAGGCCTTCAACAGCGTTGACCGAGACGTAATTTGGAAACTACTTCAACACCACGGTGTACCTCAAGTCTTCATCAGCCTCATTCAACAGCTGGCTATATGACAATGCCACCTGGCAGGTGATCCACAACGCGGAGCTCAGCGAGGCGTCCGAAGTGAATACAGGAGTAAGACATGACAGTCTACTGTCACCCATGGTGATATTCTCAATTGTGGTGGACTAGATTGTGCGTTAGACTGTGAGTGTGGGGGGCTCAGAAGACAGGAATACGTTGGACCAATCGATAAGAAGGCTCTAGAAGATCTGGATTCCGCAGATGATCTATGTTTAGTGCCACACAAACTCGAAGAATTACAGGCGGGAAGCAACAAACTGGCTGAAGTGGCTGATAGCGAAGACAAGACTCAAGGTGAACATAGCGAAGACAGAGGTGATGAAGATACCCACCCAACCAACCAACAGCACCAATCACCACCACCAACGGGAGAGATTTGACAGACGTCATCTCCTTCACTTATCTAGGAAGAATCGTCTCAACCACAGGCACACGGCACGGATGAAGATGTCAAAGTCAGCCACAATCGGAAAGGCAAGATACACCATCACCAACCTAAAGCCAGTTTGGAAATCTTTTGCACTCCGCCTCAGCATAAACAAGGAGATTCGGCTTTTCAACACAAATGTGAAGTTAGTCACTTCTTCTATGCGGGTCAGAAACTTGCACTGCGTGTCACGAAAAGCACTTCCAACAGGCTACTGCAGATTTTTATCAACAGCTGCCTTCGCTAACTCCGTATTGAAGATCAATTACCAGGAACAATTAGTAACAAGAAACTGTGGGACAAACCAAGTGCCGACCGCTCAACAAGTATGTAGGAGAAAGTGGAAATGGATGGGGCATACATTGAACCAACCACCGAGTAACATCGAACGCCAGGCCCCCGAAGGGAATCCAAGTGGGAAGCGACGAGTTTGTCGTCGGTGCTAGGGTGACACGGTGAAGGTCGTGTGAGTTGGAAGAGGAGATGAGGGATTATGGGAAATCATGAGCCCAGATGAAGAAGGCAGCAGAAAATAGAGGAAAGTGGAGATGTGTTGTTGAATCCCTATGTTCCACTCAGAACCTACGGGAACAATGATGATGATAATAATAATAATACACAAAAGGTTGTCAGATCAAACATTGAAGACGAGTGAACATGAAGAAGACGTAAGAATGACATCCAACCAGCAGCGAACATAAGTCGTTCACTAATGGGAAACGGCCGCTTTCACTTGCCTGGACAGCGACCTCTCAACTACTGGTAGCGCAGATGAGGATGTCAAAGTTAGCTAAGACTGGATCGATAGAGAACAACAAGCCTTTATTACTCTGAAATCAGTGAGATCTACAGCACTCAGCACAGTGGGACAACATTTGAATTTCTAGCACTAATGTCAAGTCGGTGCTTCTGTATGGTTTAAAGACTCCGCGCAGGCGTCACCACAGGCATTTCCAGTATGCTACCGCAGGCTTTCATCAACACTTGACCCTTCGATCGATAATAAAGATCAGATGGCAGGTCGGAAAGGACAGGAACAAGGAACTCTGAAACGAAGGAGCCAAAAAGTTTTCGCAAAAAAATGTGACCAAGTGACTGAATATTGACGTCATGTTAGCGGTAACAAAAAACCTAAAACTAAAAGCATTAATCAATTGGTATTTTGGGGCTACATAACATTTAAGTATAAACATGATTTTCATCACCGCATAGGGCTGTTTTAAGACTGTGAGGAGTTTACGAATTCATACATTTTTACGAATTGATCACGGACTGATATCAGTTAGAGAACCATTGAAAACGAGGTAGTACTGGACAGCTGCTGTTTCATCCTAGTTTGGGAATCATCGGCAGTACGCACCCACTGGGATTCGAACCCAGGACCTTCTGGTTACAAGGCAAGCTCGTATACCATTCAGCCACTGGGACCCGATTCAATGGCTCATGAATTCTAACTTCTACCAATTCGCGATTTTAGCGCGACTGATATCAGTCCGTGATCAACTCGTAAAACATAACTAATCCTTACAAACCAAACTATAGAAAATTAATCTGATGCTCGCTAGTGACTTGCTACAGGTTGGAGCTTCCTGCAGTTCTAGTGAGAAGTCGTGACCAGTGAGGTCCAATTAGAAGTCACGTGTGGATGGATTTCCACCAACGACAATAGTTGGGGTCGCGCTAAAATCACGAATCGGTAGAAGTTAGAATTCATGAGCCATTGAATCGGGTCCCAGTGGCTGAATGGTATACGAGCTTGCCTTGTAACCGGAAGGTCCTGGGTTCGAATCCCAGTGGGTGCGTACTGGCGATGATTCCCAAACTAGGATGAAACAGCAGCTGTCCAGTACTCCCTGGTTTTCAATGGTTCTCTAACTGACATCAGTCCGTGATCAACTCGGAAAACATAACTAATCCTTACAAACCAAACTATAGAAAATACATTCATTGATAATGAAAACGACAGAAAAAATCACTAGTAATCAGTTAAATTAGCGTGTTCACATGTAGTTCTTGGGCTAACAGGAAATAACGAATAGAAAAAGGTAATTGCTTTACTTTATTACGGTTTTCATTTTTTTTTTGACAAGCAAATGGTTGTTATGAATTAATGTAGAGCTACAATGTGAATCCATGTAACAATTTCTTTTCTACGCATTCACAAGGAAACTGTCACAATAACAAATCTTTGAGAATTACTTCTGAGAAAGCATTAAACAACTATTAAAACGATAAAATTTTATTTTAAATCAGACTTTAAAAAAAAAATTATATAAGTCTGAAAGCAGGCGATCAGACACTGACAAGCGACGGGATACTACAATTAGCAGCAGTTTCTGTCAAGGATATCCACTGCACAACTTTATTCAATTAAAAACTATATATAGACATATATATAAGAGGAAAATACACAATTCTACGTTCAACAAATGGTCCTTTAATAAAGGATTGCAAGGATATGTTTTAGGATGAGATGCAAATGGTAACGGCTCTAGTTTAGACATTTGACAACAAATATAGCTGAATAAATAAATGCAGATATTCCTTACTTTTAGTTTCTGATTTTTACGAAGCCAAAATCAGTTATTTATTGTGCATAGTGGTGATAATTATGCTAATGTGCCGAAACAAAGTCACATTGAGAAGAGGGTGTTTATAGATAGGTTGATTCCAACAATGAAGTCACTTAATGAGTTAGCGACAGAAATGTACGACTTTCACTTGCAATGTTGGGGGATTCATACGATATTGGCTAGACATAGAGGTAGTATGATGGACGTATTGATTTACTTTTAGCATAACACATTTTGTCAACTGCTCTTACTTTTTAGGTATTTTCTCGGGAGTTTCCCCAATTTTCGGTAGCATTGTTTTCTGTGTTTACCCTTCATATTCAAACATGCTTACTGACATTAATTCAATTATTTTAGTAATAGTATTTCTTTTACTTCTTCTGTAAGTGACATTTGATGTCACCACTCATACCAGTAATTTGGTCCGTCAGTTGCATCGTATTTAACCATTAGACAATGACTAGACGATAGGTCTTTAAATGACTACTGTCATAATTACGGTTTTCGAAATATCCAAACTGAACTTCAATTAAATAACTGAACCTATAATTACGAAAACTCGAGTGTTCGAAGAAATAAAAGAATTGCTTTACTTGACATGATTTCACCTGGAAAATCAAAACCTAATTTCTATGTAATTTTTCAGAACTTGGAAACTCGGCGGTTAAAATTACTTTGTCTAAGGAGGTTAGTGCGAGTTACCGAGATTCTCTATGGCATCGATCAGTCGACTGCTGGATATTCTAAAGCCAGATCGAATATCTACAAAATATGCAACTAAATATACACCAAAATTATTTTTGTAGCTAGTGAACACCAGTGGTTATTAATGACGTCGTAGAAGGTATGTTGTATATTAAAACTCAAAGAAAATGATTTTGGATAATCTACCTTATTATTACTCAAAGCCAAATCCAAACGACTCTCGAAGTCCCTTCGCATTTCTTCTTGCATCTCACGTGCCATATCTTTTTCCTTCGATAGCAGCACTTCCAGTTTTGATCTCACCTGACAAAAATGTGAAAAGCTACATGAGAACTAACTTCTGCGTGATTAGACTCCATTTCTTTAATATCCAAATCATGCTTAGCTAGTATATTAGCTTCCTTATTTGAACAACATTCCTTATACTTTTCAAAATCATCTAATATGGACCTCTTGGCCTAAAAATAATTCAAATATAGGTGGACATACCTCTTCCACAGACCTAAGGGAAGAAGTAAGCTCTGTCAGTGATTGATTGAGTTGATGAATTTGGGCATTACTTTCGCTCTGAGAACATGGATTAGACAATTAAGACTACCTTGTGTTTTTTTATACAGCCAACAAGATACGCCTTGAGTTTGTCATCATCAGCTGCGCGAAGATTTAGAGTTAAATGATGAAGATATTTAAAATTAGTGGCTTCAACGATCTGCAGAACGCCAGAATTCGTTTCCTCACTGTTTTTCGAGAATCGAACAGCATACCTAGGGGGTAGAAGCAAACCCATCGAACTAACTTGGGATTTTCCGTAGATTCGTCCTGAGAGCAAACGTTCAGTAGCTCAACCACCTTCTGCTCGAAATCGTTGAAGTTCACTAGCAAGCCTTGCTGCTGCTTAATTCTGAAAACGACATCAAAATTTGATTTAATCGGTTCTAACTTTGAAAATTCATCTATGTTTATCCGCGAATAATAGAGAAAGCAAAGGTCATCATCATTCGTTAGTCTAACTTCTAGTTCCTATACTCAGATGAATTAGATGTGATTATATAGTACCTTCTTCAAATCGTGTGAATGACTCAAATCAATGTCTATATTAAATTCTCTGGGACACATAATTAATGAAGTCTAATAATACCTATTTTTTCCATCAAAAAAGATCAAGTGACGGCCACTGTAAAACATCACATAAACCACAGTTTGCGCCACCGGTACATCAACACTTCAGTGTCCAATGTCCTGAATCCTGTAGAGAAAACGTCCTTGAGATCGAGAAAGTTAAAACAAATCCTTTAATATTCCATGAGCTATCCAAAAAAGAAAAGAATAATAACAAGAAAATAGCAACTCTAAACAATAGTAACCCAAAACGAAACGACCTACGAACGCACAAATGACCTCGTCAAGGACCAATCAGAAGGCTCGTAAAAACGGCATTAGTCGTCCCAGGCAGCACTAAGCGCTAGACAATAGGCCATTATACACATGCCGTGCGCTTAGGGGTCGCCTCAATATCTCCTTTCTGGAGGCTGGTGTCATATATCCCTAAAACCTATTGCTGGAAAAAACAGTCACCTGACACCTGATCGGTTTCTCAAGGTCATTTGTGCGTTCGTAGGTCGTTTCGTTTTGGGTTCCTATTGTTTAGAGTTGCCAAGAAATACAGGTGACACTAAGCTATAGCAGCCTGAACGGAATCTAACTGGCAAACGGATTAATGACCCTGACAAGGACAACTTTGATCAATCAGACGCCTCTATAGCAAAAAGCGCACAATTTGAATAAAACGTTTAAATGGAAGTAATGCAATGTTAAAAAGTCGTTAAAAAGGATGACGTCCTTCAATATGTTACAAAAAACCTCCCAATTTCTCGTAGGAGCCTTCATAGTTATGATAAACCAAGTCCTGTACATAAACTCATCGAGATAACTGTATATCACTGCATTTCTTGTTCCATTCACAGATCTGATCCGTGTTTTGAGATGACTCCAAAAATTTTCGATGAAATTAATGTGAGTTCCATCGAAAGGATTGATGAAGTCATTTGTATTGTTGACGACGTGATGAATATGGCCCAGGGTTGGTAGCTGACTATTACTACTACATTCATCTGTATGAATAGTTGTTCCAGATATCACTAAGCGTTGGACAATAGGCAATAAGACATTAGCACCGCGATTAAAGATCGCCTAGATGTATCCTTTGTGGAGGTTGGTATCATATATCCCCAACACTCACTGCTGATTTGCACTCAATCTACCTCGATTATATTTTCTCTTCATAGACACTGCATCATCCACATGAACAATGACGCTTACGCTGCCAAGTACTTGAGTCAGTTTGTTCATTTTCCATGATGTCATGTATCTATAGTACTGGTACCACTGCACTGAAGACACTTCTGAATTTTCCGATTCATACGTTGTTGTTGTTCCGGATCTTTTAAGCACCCAGTTATGACACATCATGAGAATTTTCGTTAGAGGTAACTTAGAGTTGGCGAAAAAAGTACTTACGGAATCTGTAAACTAAAAAAGAATGTCATACCTTCTCGAACTGACTTCTTGGTTCGGAACTCATCGCACCTGTAGACAAGTCCGTCAATACACCTAGTATATCTTTTTTAATACATGACACTTCCAAGTTTACACTTTTTCGACCTTCATATCAGTTTTTCTCCGAGTCACCTGATTGGTTGTGGAATATTACCTATAATGTAACTTTACACAGGCTGATGCTGTGTGCACAGCATAATACAAAGTATATCCACTGCAGAAATTTAACCAAAATACGCCTCATATTTGATGTTTGCGTTATTGCAGATAGGTGTAATGAATACGAAACCTATATGAAACACACAAATCAACGTTTCATTTTCTTTGCTGGCAGGAAAATACTCAACAGTCAATTACCTGGACCTGCAGACACAACAATTGTGTCCTCTTTGAGCAGCCTGGTTGCGGTGATAGCTATCTGCAAGTCAAAATTGTAGACAACACATGACGTCTATCTTTACGTCCCGAATCAGGGTTATGAGAGAAAACAAGAACAAAGCTCAACTCTTTAGAAGTCAACAACCAGTCAAAGCAGAATTAGCACGTGCAAATACAATTCGCAGATATAGGGATAACTTTGCAACCAGCGGTCACAAGCAATACAGGAAAACCCTCAGCAAGGAAAACCACTCAGAAGACGTTGCTTCTCTACTAAAATAACGAATGAAAATGTACATAAAAATGTATGAACATCCCTTGAATCAGACGCAGGAGTGCATTGTCATATCCGAGCAGTCTGGTGACTGAATAGATGAAAAATGGAAGTGCGTTTGCATCACGCACAATAGCTGATAGTCCACTCCAAATGGCTGAAACTTATCGAAGAAGTATCGCATATAAGTCTGAAAATGCTCTATAGCATGTAGGCTCTCATGATCTCTTAGATTGTAACTGGTCTCAGAGGCAGATTTAGTTCTTGGCCCGGAGTAGTGCAAGAGAAGATTAGTCATCTTGCAGTAGAGAATAATAATAATATTTTATTTCTGTAACAGAAACCAGCCATTTTTACAGGCATGAACATATGTACACTAATTAGAACTTATAGAATATATATGATCTGTTAATCTAGAAATAGATTGAATACTGGTAAATTTGAGAGAAATATTTAAAAAGAAATGTACAAATAAGGCAATAGGTAATTTTTGAGATATGCTTTCAACTGAATAATTCATGAGATATAGCATCAAATTTAAACTGTAATTGAAAAAAATACGGTATGTCAATTTCACGCGGGGATTATAAATGATTACGTTAATTGTGGGAAAGAGGCTATAGTCAGTTTCAAGGTCATGATGGGTTCCTGCGTCGGCTGGTTATATGTTTCCGTGAATTCGTTTTCCATTGAATTTTAAAGGTTTTTTTGAATGTTTTACGCATTTTGCAGTGTGTGTGTCGGTTTTTGTCACTGGATGCTTCTATTAAGCTTATATTTAGCCTGAATTTCCCAGTTATTATGTTGCTAGTTAAGGATTATGGCAAATCTGCAATCATTGAGTCATTTCACGTATACTATGCTAATACGGTAACATTCCTTACTAAGTAAACTCCTTAACTGTTCTGCCATTGTTGGATCAAACAGTATATACGTGCTCAACATAACGCTCAGCTACCTGCTTAGCCACAGCATATCCACAGTACAAAGACTGTCTTATCCTGCGCATATAGGATTCAAAGGGAAATGTACTGAATCCTTCTAATGCCCCATGCAGCTCGACGTCATTCACTGTTTCAGAGAATGAATATTGTAAACAATATGTTCATCTCCGAAACAGTTCTCATATTGCAGTAAGCAATTACTCAAATCTGTCCGAACAGCATCCAAAAACAGTCAGCTGTATTTGGTAATCGAAAGTAAGTATACTGACAGGGAAAATTTCCTATAATTATCGTACAGGGGGGGAGAGGCAGAATGTTCCTGAGTAAGCGAGACCCAAATATATACCAGTTTTTAGAAGGATCAGGGTTATTTCAGTACATACTGGGTTCACTTCAAATAGATAAAATATTCATTTACGGTAAAAAGGCATTATTAACGCGTTGGTTAGATTTTGCTGAGAACTGTTGCAAGGTTGGTCTTTTAAGTGTCCCAAGCTTACCATACTATACCTCCAAAAGTGCATTTATGCCTCACAAACTTATATTCCATAGGGCCAGATGGGTCTTTTTTACCGGTATCAACCCGATAGGATGTGTTCGATTCCTTTTAAAGAAATAATGAACAATTTAGTTGTTACCTTCATAAATGTATCAAAAGCTTGCTTAAGTTGCACCCACGTATAAAATACACAACTAAGCATTATTCTTTGGAATACAGCCATTAAATCAGACAATATAGATGACACTTTTCGTGAAGCAGAGGCTGCAGGAGTATTTTGTAACGTCATGTAATGGTTTTAACAATGACTAACGAACACAACATTGTAATTTCAAGTAAATGAATAATAGAATATATTTCAGTGCCCATAAACCACTGTTGTGACCTAGTAAATTTAATTGATTTATGCTGACCTAATATGCACAAATCCCACAGGTCACTGAACTGACAACCTAAAAAGTGGATCAGTTAATACATATATATGTGCTAATTAAATACTCATTAATTGTCTAGACATTGTGATTTAATCACATTCTTCTAGTAAGCAAAAATGCACACGTCTTATTTTAGACTTAAAATATATGTATGAAAATTACCGTTGTCTCATATTCACTTACTAAACATTCTCAGACATCCCAATCAGTCATGTTCGTCTAGTAGGCAAAAATGCACACATCCTATTTCAGACTTAAAATATATGTATCAATATATGTACTGTTGATTTATATTGACTTAATATACAATCTCAGATATCTTAATGTACCTTTATTTACCACTAATGCATCCAAATAGCCTGTGAATCATCACACTACACTCACACCCATAAAATTAACACGTGATTATATTATGGTAAAGTACGTTCAATTAAACTGCCTGTAAATTTCCGTGTCAAAATAACAAATTACCGCTTAATTTATATTTTAGACCAATAAAAAGCCAGCTAACCAACAGCCAATAAAAATCTGCCTATATCGCTTTTCTAATTGGAAAGAGGCTATAGTCAGTTTCAAGGTCATGATGGGTTCCTGCGTCGGCTGGTTATATGTTTCCGTGAATTCGTTTTCCATTGAATTTTAAAGGTTTTTTTGAATGTTTTACGCATTTTGCAGTGTGTGTGTCGGTTTTTGTCACTGGATGCTTCTATTAAGCTTATATTTAGCCTGAATTTCCCAGTTATTATGTTGCTAGTTAAGGATTATGGCAAATCTGCAATCATTGAGTCATTTCACGTATACTATGCTAATACGGTAACATTCCTTACTAAGTAAACTCCTTAACTGTTCTGCCATTGTTGGATCAAACAGTATATACGTGCTCAACATAACGCTCAGCTACCTGCTTAGCCACAGCATATCCACAGTACAAAGACTGTCTTATCCTGCGCATATAGGATTCAAAGGGAAATGTACTGAATCCTTCTAATGCCCCATGCAGCTCGACGTCATTCACTGTTTCAGAGAATGAATATTGTAAACAATATGTTCATCTCCGAAACAGTTCTCATATTGCAGTAAGCAATTACTCAAATCTGTCC